CCCGATCTTATTTTTACCTTTCAGTTTCATTCAAATTGTTCTCCCTGTGACTTCCGTATTGGGAGCTCCGATTTTAGGCAGTGCCTAAATATATATACTAAAAAATTAGAAACACATTCCCTAAATATTTTACCATGATTATATTATTAGGAATTTAAATTCTGAATAAACACAAATCATCATAATATTAATACACTACTTTGCTAATGCAAATTTTGTCTCGTTCCAGTTTACTCAGTCTGCAAAATATCAGACATTTGTTGAATAAATAAGAAAAAATGTGGCCGTGCCAACCTATTTTGCCCCCTGAGTAAACTGAAACGAGAAAAAACTTGCATTAGGAACGTTAATTCTCAATCATGTACAGGGGAATGAAATATCAAAATACACGGCGGCCATGTTGGATGATATAACAAAATATTTCACAAACTCGTCCCCAGGGTCCTTTCAGCCAACTCGTTGCTGGGTCGTTGGGGAGAAAACCCTGATGTTGGCCGGACTATCGCAAACAGTAATTGTTTTTTTAAGATGATGTGATAATATTTCTTACAAGCTTTTCCATTGGTCTTTTTTCTCTCGACATTTAATTTGGCGCTTTGAGAAGAGTTTTGAGACGGCATTTGTTTGAGACGGCATTAATTTGAGACGGCATTAATTTGAGACGGCGTTTGAAACATATGATCTTTTCACTGTGATTTTTCCCCCGTCCATTTGGAATAGAACCAGAATACTATATGACTTAGAGTTTTTATTTTTATTGGCTCGTTGGATGACAATTACTTAAAAAGCACGAATTTAATTTGGGGCCGAAGAGCCAGTGGCACGCAATACGACTTCTGATGGGGCCCAGTTTCCTCTTGTCTAGCCCTGAGGTATTTATAATAAAAGACGATCCTCAGATCTGATGACAAAACAAACCTTTTCACGTCGATATAGCGTATTCCCTCAAAATGCAAAAAATAACTTTTTAGCCTCAAGTATTTTTTTTGTCCCTAAAACTCACAATATGTTAAATGCATGCATAACTCTAGTTTCGATTTCATTTTAATTTTTTGCTCCAAACCTCAGTTAAAATCAGCAGTCTCTGATCGCCCGGCAACCTAATTGTTTTGTTGGTCACATGAAAACAAGCCATTTTGTTTTGATTATCAAGTGATCAGAATCTCCAGAAATCTTGGAGAATTTGATCACGTGATCCAGCAAACACCAGGGTCTTCTCCACGACGATCGCCATATTGAATCGTAGTCGGTCGAGAGGACCCTGGGGACGAGGTTGAAGATTTCATTGGCAATTATTTTGCTTGGCTTATGAAGGAGGGCTTTTTTCCGTAATTCGAGGGCGAATTACAAGAAAATGATTGGTAGTGCAGCAACGCTCATAAACTGTAAACTATTCTTTTCCAAAATGATCTCATATTTTGCCAGGGATGTTTTGCATTGGTCGACGAAGAAACCATATAAGAAAACTAAAAAGCTCAAGCGACAATGAGAACACCACAAAGAGTACAACTATCTGGATAAATGATTTACGTAAATGGGCCTCGGAAAGGCTACTCAAGTAGTCCCAAATGTGTACAACTTCACAGCTGCGATGTGCTTTTGAACATCGCTGGAAATAAATCAAAACAATCATCTCAGTCTGGACTTAATCTGTCAAAACGCCGACCAAAACTCCACTTTAACGGCTTCTTTCTTTGGATTCTGATTCAGACTAAGAACTATGTTGGTAGGAATTTAGTTTTACGCATGTTTTGATGGTTTTTGACTTGATCTTTTACGTTTGTCGTTCTTTCGGTTGAAACAACCTTTTCAGTTTTGAAGATTGAAGATTTCATTTAGCACTATTTAGGGGGATCCAAGAAAAACCATGCAAAATAATCATTGTTTTAAATTCAGCGATCAATGATATTGTGTGAATTGAATGGATAGAACTGTGGTG